ATCAATGGTAGTAAGGCACATTGTTGTGAGTTTATAAATACACTAACTGACAATACAGAAAGTATATCTATGATAGTCATAGTTGATAATAAACAATAAAAAAAAAGTGACTGCGATATTGATATCATATAAACCATTTAGCTACCTGTCTTTATAAAAATATCATCATGTATATTAACTCAAAAATTTGAAACTTTAGGAAAACTTTTTTTAAAAGACCTAAAAAATAAACTATAAAAAACATATGGTAACTGAAAATTATAGTGGTTTTAAACTTTAGGCGATTTGTGGAATGATATAATTTACCTGAAACTTTGCGAACCTCATTTTTCTAAGTATCTGAACNTATAATTTACCTGAAACTTTGCGAACCTCATTTTTCTAAGTATCTGAACTAATTTAGATTGTCTAATTTCAGAAAAGTTAATTACTCTAATGAGGAGTGAGCGGGAATATTATTATTAAATAAATACATTATATTCGCATGCTCAGATTTTGTTATAATTTATTAAAATACAATATTCATCATTAATGAAAAGTGATATAATTATTTTATTTTGTAACACGCCAAACGAACGACTATGTGTATCGCGGTGTACTAGTCTTAGATAAAAAAAATACAATAGACTATTATTCCAACGGCCGACCAATTAACATAGGTCGTAATAACATCTATTCACAAAAACCACCCTATCCGACACAACAATGATATTAATAATCAGTTTATTCAGTCTACATTAAATGTTTTTAGGATTTTTATCAATTATGACGAGTGAATCATTAAGGATAAGATATTCATGTTCTTGGAAACTATTAGAAATTTTAAATTCTTGTAAAAGACAATATTGTTCGATTCAAACAACTTTACAATAACATGTAGTTAAATACATTTTTTTCATCTCTTCGAGGATAAAATACTTATTAGTCTTTAATGAGAACTTTGTTTTTAGTTTGATGGTTAGGTAAAATAAATAATTTCAAACAATTTTATTCTACTAATTTGTTTTTCAGATCAACCACCTAAGTATTTTAAAATAGTTTTAGACTTAAAAAACAAATTCGTCATTATTTGGGTTTTAATAATACTTCAGACAACAATCTGTTCAAATGGGCCATAAATTATTTTTATGATATTTATCAAGGAAATTTATTTTTGCCATATCGTTCAACAATGCGTCTATTAATAGATCTGAATTATTAAAGATAAGATTTCTCTATGATGGTTAATATCGACTCGTACCTATGAAAAGTGACGACTATTGTATGCTAAACAAATAATTATCAATTATAAAATTGATCAAAAATCAAAATTATTATAAGCAGAAAAATATATGAAATATTTTTTCTATCATTTTATCAAACTAAATATATTTGTTACCGTTAAAAAATTTTTAAAGTGTAGGATTTTTATTTCTGGGAGATGAAACCAGAAATTATTTAATTACATATTATTGTAGTTTTTTATTTAAATCAAACAATATTTTATTTAAACTTGTAAGTTATTTAAAAACTGTAACTACTGTATTTTTATTTTCATATTATTATATAATTAATCTTTTACAAACACAATAGAATTGTATAAAATTTGTCAAAATAATATTTTTTAATACATTAAATGATGATTGAATTTTTTATTTTTAAAATAATATGAAACTAAATTTGCACTTGATGAAAATACTAAAAATATAAATGGTCTTTAAAACCCAATACTATAAGGCATTTGATAGAATTAACAATTTAGAAAAAAATCCTAAAAATTATTTTCCTCAATGATGTAGTGTTTATGAGGCTCACTGAAATTTGTGGTAAAACTGAATTATTTACTACAAATTGTACATTTAGAAGTATATTAGGCAAAAAAAATTATCTTAAAATAATTAAACATTTACCAACGAATCATTGGTGCTATATTAGGGAAGTAAGTAAATAATTTTTTTTCGTTAAAAATAATGTCAATTTTCAGAAATTTCTATTAAAAGTAAAGGTCATTGAAATTTATAAAGAGGTAGTTTTTAAGTTCTCCACTAGAACAATTTACTTTGAGACCTCTTAAGTTCAAGTTGCGTTGTTGGAACCTATAAATAATTACACTGTTTTGTTTAGTTCAAAACTTGAACACCTATTATGATATATAAAAAAAAGTTTATTAAAATATTAATGTTTTTTTTTTTTTTTTTTTTA